GCATGAACAAAAAAAAATCACTTGCAGTGGTTCAATTCATTTAAAATGAGATTATAATACAACAACCTCATGAATACTTTACAAGCTTCTGTTATTCCTCATTATTTGCATTGCTTGCTTCATTTGAGTTACTAATGGCCAAGTCGTATGACATAAGAGGAATTGTACTTGACCGAAGGCTTTCTCATTCTCATAGTATCAAACTAGTAGTGCATACCAGTCAAGTGGATCATAGCAGGAAAGATGATTAACCAGTGGGTCTCTAAATAATCTAAGGAAGCACTCTCCAAGGATGCCCAGTGTATGCAAAAGCTAAAAAAGACTGTCTTTGAAAAACTGCTTATTCATGTTGACAAAGATATAAGAATACCAACTACATAACTTTGCATGAACAAATCTCTACTCTAAATCTTTGTCAGAGTTAACTTTAAGCACACTTTTTTTGGGGGGGCGGGGGCGGCTACCGGGGATTGAATTCAGGGACACTCAAACACTGAGCCACATCCCCAGCCCTATTTTGTATTTTATTTAGAGACAGGGTCTCACTGAGTTGCTTAGCACCTTGCTATTGTTGAGGCTAGCTTTGAAGAATGTTTTTCCCTTGAAAGTTTTATAAACAAATACAAGTGAGGGACAAATTCCAGGCTTCTACAAGTAGAAAACAGGCAGAGCATCCTGTAAGTGTGTTCCCTCAGTCCTAGTCTACCATCCTAATCCAGGCCTTCACCATCACCCACACACATGGTAGTGTACTGATCATTTCTACCCAAGGGTCTACTCCTTTCAGCAAATTTTTCTAAGTAATATCTTACAAAACTTAATAAATGTTCCCAAATTAAGACAGCAAGCAAGCTCAAATTCTAACATAATATAGCCATCAACATGTGTTGGGTGACTTGAGATGAGCATATAACAACGTAGGACCTTACTTTTCCTGTGTTTGAACCATGCCCCCTGCCTTTTTTTTTCTCGCCATACTGGGGATGGAACCCAAGGCCTCATGCATGCTACGCAAGCACTCTACCTTAGCTATATCCCCAGACATAATTTGTGGGTTTTTTTCCTTTGTGGCACTAGAGAATGAACCCAAGACCTTGTACATGCCTCGCAAATGCTTTACCACTGAGCTCCATTTCCATCCCTATGTTTAAAAACTAGGAGAGTGAGTCACAGAAAGCCAAACTCTTCTACAGAGGCAATCTCTAAGCTAAAATTAATAATCTTTCTGACCACATTTGAGAACAGGCTCCTTTGAGAGCTGCAAAGAGCTAAACATCCCAGGACAGTATGTAACACCTTTGGCAGACTGGTATCCTTCTTAGAAACCTGATTGCCCCTAGAATGTCTGCCCGCAGACACATAATAGTCATAGCATTTAGACCCTTAATTTTTGCTGCCTAAGATAATAATGACATACAATAATCAAAAACAAATGGGAAGGGGTTGGGGATATAGCTCAGTGGCAGAGCACTTGCCTAGCACATGTTGAGGCACTGGGTTTAATCCTTAGCCCACATAAAAAATAAACAAAATAAAGGCATTCTGTCCACCTACAAGTATTAAAAAAAAAAAAACTTTTTTTTTAATACTTGTAGGTGGGAAGAGGCTTGAATTCTTTTCACTAGATTGTACTGTTGAAACACATTCATAACACTCTAAAAGTTAAACATCATGTTACTAACATACCAAAAATAGCTCCAATGATATGAAAATTGATTTTGTACATGGTATCCTACATATATATATATGAAGTAACTTTCCAGAAACAAAGTCAATATGAAGTCCAAAAGGCACACATACCCAAGAAAATAATCTGTATCGCTCATCCACTGGTTTATAAACTGTACAGTGATAGGTCCAGGGTTGTGAGGCAACTGAATTCGATCTAAAGTATGTAGCAGCAAATCAGGGTTATAGTACAAGGCAGCAATTGCAACCTGAAGACACATCGTACGGAGTTCACTAGTTTTGACCCCTCGAGTTAATCTCTCCAAAACAAGTTGAACAAAGAGAGGAATGCACTAAAGAGTAAAAAGAAAAGAAGAGTCAACCATACACAGAGCAACCAAGTAACTTACAGAAAGCTAACGCTGGCAAAGAGTAGTATCAAAAAGTCAATAAAATGACAATAAAATTTTTGCTTAAATTGTTTTTAGATATTTACAAGATTTACATGTTCATAAAATTCACAGAAATTAAGTAAACAAAACAACAGTCCTTCAGCAATGCCAGGAAATCTGCTTTCTTAAGTGAACACTAGAGTTCATGCAAGATTGTCCAGTAGAGTCCACACTCAAATGGTGACAATAACCCATGGGTGAACTCAGCTAGATAAAATGATGAAGGTGGACTTTTCTTTGATTAATCAAATTGAAAATAAATGATTGGGACTAAAAGTAAGTATGAAAGTCTCAGTATGTCTCTTGAAAACAACTTTACATGAAAGATGAAAAAGAAGTGGTGAATCCCACACATTAAAATAAAATGATCTAATTCCAATGGTAACTCTGTTTCTTACTCAGATGCAGAATACTCCTGGTTCTAATGTAATAGCACAACACATATGATTTTAAAATACATTAAAAATTATTACCCTGGCCAAATAACTGGTTGAAAATCAGTGAAGTCACAATGGAAAACAAGCCTGAAGAGCTCTTTTTGAGAGGTTTTAAAAGTAAATTTTAATTTTAATTAAATTTTTTAAATTAATTTTTACTAATACATACAAAGCCAAGAGGAACCAAAGGAATCTTTAAGTTTTAAACTAGTAACACTAAAATTATCCCCTTTACAGTATATTAAGACAAAACTGATTATGGAGACAAGTTGGACAAGTTACACAAATCCACAAATAAAGCACTGTGCAACTACAAGAGCAGTGCAGGAGAGCTGCTCGTACCACTGTGGAGGGTGGCCACCAAGAAAAGAACAGCGAAAAACATAGGTAGAGTGCACTGCTGTGTATCTAAGAAGCAAGGAAAGAATGAATTTAAAATGGAGGGAAATAGGGAATTGCTGTAAAGGTAAAAGGATCAGTGATGGAGGCTAGACTCCTCTGAATACACCTTGTTTATTAAGTTAGACTTTAGAACTGTGTATATGTTCTATATTCGTTAATTTTTTTTAAAAAAAAGCAATCCCTAAAAATTCAGATTAATTGAGGTAAATGAATAAGCCAAACAGGGATTATTTTAGTGACTTTAAATTTAATGATTTGACTGTATATTAACTACATGTATATATTTGTATACTCCCAGAGTATAGACATACCTTGGGTGAAAAGAGCTACCAAAAAATCTTGAACTGTTAACAGTAATTTTTTTTTTAAAGAGAAAGAGAATTTTTTAATATTTATTTTTTAGGTTTTGGTGGACACAACATCTTTATTTTATTTTTATGTGGTACTGAGGATCGAACCCAGCGCCCCACGCATACCAGGCGAGCGCGCTACCACGTGAGCCACATCCGCAGCCCAACAGTAATCACATATTGATGATAATAATGATATAATTATTCTGAGACTATTGTTTATATTAGTGGAATAAAGCACATAAGTAATTATGATGATAACCTACCTAATTGATCCTACCTCCTACACCAAAAATTATATTTAACTAAAAATAAAGAAGCCCTGAATTTTAATTGGAAATTAGAAACATCTACATATATCTATGTGTACTAATGATGCACAGACTAAAAAAAGAAAAAGGTATTTCAGCTCTTCTTCATAGAAACAATGACCAACTCAATATTGATGACTATACATAAATAGCAGTAAAATATATATTATATATGAATGTTAATATATAATTGATGCATATTACATCATCAACATACTAATATATTAATGACATACTACATCTACATAGAGAGAAAATGTGCATGCATGCATAATAAATATCACTTATGCCTAGCTTATAGTCTTGAAATACCATTTCCCAGGGTAGGGCAGTCTAGGACAAGAAATCTATACAATGATCCTGGAACAGCTAGTCCTACCTGATAATAGGAAAACTACCAACGACTATCAGAGTTAAGTCAAAAGGATTCATAAGGGCTGGGGTTACAGCTCAGTGGTAGAGTGCCTGTCTAGTACATGTGAGGCACTGGGGTTGATTCTCAGCACTGCATATAAATAAATAAAGTCCATCAACAACTTTTTAAAAAATTTAAAAAAAAAAAGACTCATAAGACAAATTCAAGAGGTTCCTACTGGCCAAAGATGACATATCTTTGTATACTTGGAATATATTCAAATACCTCAACCAATTTGAATTCATAAATTCACAATGATACAAATCAACAGAATGAAACAAAAACAACATAATAAAACACTTCATTGGTCATCTCTGGAAGAGGTCAAGAAACAAAAGTATTATCTTGCTGGGCACAGTGGCGCACACCTATAATCCCAGCAGCTCGGAAGGCTGAGGCAGGAGGATCGTGAATTCAAAGCCAGCCTCAGAAACAGCAAGGCACTAAGCAACTCAGTGAGACTCTGTCTTTAAATAAACTACAAAATAGGGCCAGGGATGTGGCTCAGTGGTCAAGGGCCAGAGTGAAAGTTCAATCCCTAGTACCCAAGATAAAAAGTATTATTTTGAATCATGGCAGAAGAGAGAATTAACATACTTAAATACTCAAACTTTCTCAGGATAATCTGATAATTTATGAGAAAACATTTCGTTTTACAGAAATATTTCATATAATAAATGAAGAAGTAATGGTAATTAGAATATCACTTTCAATACCACTAACCTCAGAGGATAGGAGACAACTAGACATACTGTGCTTCCTGGGAGAAATACACATCATCACCCATGACTTGTTCTTGCCAAAAAAGTAAAACCTGAGTCTAACCCAATCTCTAAATTTAACTACCATGTGACAGGAAATTTAGAGAAATGGAATGCCAAGGTAATGTGTTCCTTAATAGATAGTGAATGCACTGTGTATTCGCAACCATTAGAAATCCTCGTAAGTCCTCAGCTTTCTGATTAAAAATTCTCTAATACTATCTTCCCAGATCCTTCTACCACCCAGTTTTAGGAGTAGAAATTGACTATATCACTTTAGAGATTTTTGGTTGCTGACTTTAAATGAACATACACATATAAACAATCCTCTTATTCAACTCTTGATTACCTACCATATTGCTCCAAACTGAAATTTCAATTTTTTGCACTTTTACAAGTCTTCCTAATTTGCTGATAAACAAAGCCAAGATAGGCCAGTAGTTCAGCAGAGAAAGCCCAGGAAGGAGACAGCCAAGAACAACCCTCATGGGGACAAGACAAACCTCACAAGAACCTGAAAACAAAAAATCAGCCATTACGAATGCTTAAAGAAGGGCTGGGGATGTGGCTCAAGCGGTAGCGCGCTCGCCTAGCGTGCGTGCGACCCGGGTTCGATCCTCAGCACCACATACAAACGAAGATGTTGTGTCCGCTGAGAACTAAGAAAAAATAAATAAATGTTAAAATTCTCTCTCTCTCTGTCCCTCTCTCTCTCTCTCACTCTCTTTTTTAAAAAAATGCTTAAAGAATAAAGGAGGGCTGGGATATAGATGAGTCTAGAGTGCTGCCTAGAGGTGAAGCCCCTGGGTTCAACCACCATGAAGGAAGAGGAAACCATTCCTAAAGGAAACTTTGATTACAATACCTCAAATATAAAATAACAATAAAAACAGACATTATAAAAAAAATTCTGAACTTAAATACTATGAACAAAATGAAAAATTCACTAAAGAAGCTCCACTGGCCAAAGGTTTAAAATGGCAGAAGAGAGAATTAACATACTTAAAAGACAAGCAATAAAGACTATGAATTCCAAAGACCAGAGGAAAAAAGAATAAAGAAAAATGTCCACAACCTCAAGGAAATGTGGAACATAATTAAGCACACTAGTATACGAATAACAAAAGTACCAGGAAAAAAACAGGACAGAAAGGGGGGGAAATACAGAAACAATGGTTGAAAACTTCCCAAGTTTGACAAAAATAATCTGAACATTTAAGAAGCTCACAAATTTCAATTAAGATAAACACAAAGAGAGCCACACACATCCACATCATAGTAAAAATGCTGAAAGACACAATCTCGACAGTAGTGGTAAGAGAAAAACATATACCAACACAATGAACAAAGGAAGGTTAATAAGATTAACATCTGTTAATCATTGTTTCTTCCCAGAAATAATGGAGGCCAAAAGGCAATGTCATAGCATAGGTAAAATTTTGAAAAAGTTGTTCACCAAAAATCTACCAAAACTACCTTTCAAATATGAAGGCAAATCTTTTCTAGCTACACTTCTGACAGAGGATTAATATGAAGAATATATAAAGAACTCAAAAAATTTAACACCAAAAAAAAAACCACCAAAAATCAAATAACCCAAATGATAAATGGGCAAATGAACTAATTAGACACTTCTCAAAAGAAGAAATACAAATGTCCAAAAAAATATATTAAAAGTTCAACATCTTTAGCAATTACAGAAAAGCAAATCAAAACTATACTGAGATTTCATCTTATTTCAGTTAGAATGGCAACCATCAAGAATACAAATGACATCCAGGCGTGATGACATATGCCTATAATCCTCAGCTCAGGAGGCTGAGGCAGGAGGATCACAAATTCAAAACCAATCTCAGCAATTTAGCAAGGCCCTAAACAACTTCATGAGACCCTGTCTCAAAATGAAAAACAAAAAGGCCTGGGAATAGGGTTCTGTATTTATGCAACCCTGGGTTCAATCCCTGTTACCAAAAGAGTATGAACAATAATAAATGCTGAAGAGGATATGGGAAAAAGTTAAACTTGTACATCGTTGGTGAGAATGTAAATCAGTACAACTACATTATGAAGGTTCTTCAAAAGACAAAGGATGAAATTTCCATATGATCCAGCTATACCACTCTTATTTATACAAAAGAATTTTAAGTTATCATACTATAGTGATACATGCATACCACTTTATAGCAGCACAACTCATAATATCCAAACTATGGAACCAAACCTAG